TCCCCCCCCCCACCCCACCCCACCCCACCCCACAGTGTAGAAATGGCTTTTTGAGATTTATTCCTTGGCCCACAAATCCCAATTCCCTTATAATTTCAGTCTTCCATGACCGTGTTAATTTTGCCCTCTGCTATGCCTTGCTCAAGAGACTTTCATTAGAAACACTGTAAACATGAGAGGTATTTTTCTGTGGTGATAGAGCCCATTACGAACCTTAAAAATTCCCAAACTAACTGGGTTTATATGGGATACAAAGCTGCAAAATAGAGTTTGAGTTTTGGCCTCTGGTGGCGACTGAATATGAATGAGAGCGAAATCTCACTGTAAAATACACATCTAACAACGCTACACATTTGCAAAACATTCCTTTATTATAAATAAATCTTAATTTTTTTTGGTATAAAAACTAGCATGCTTCAACCATGGCATTTTACAGCTTCACAACCCCCGCGGTTACGGTTCAGTCAGCCAATACAAGACACGTCATCTCAGAATGCAGGTTTCTGACAAAGTGGGACAAGAATGAAAAAATCTGCACGACCACAAAAATACAATAACAACAAACATAGTTTGACTCTGGTAGTTTTCATATATTTTCTCTTTTTTTTACATCCACATTTCCAAAGTTTACCGTGAACATCTCCATCTGCAAAATGTTTACACGATTATTTGTGTAAAGTTCTTTTTTGTATGACTGCAAGCCTGCACCTGTGTGCGGGTTCACGTGTGTTCATGGCAGGATCGGTAGCTCTTGAACGCAGGATAGCAGTCTCACTGGAAGGTCCCATAAGTCTGTTTGTCTTCCAGGATGCTGCAGGTTTTAGATTGATGCAGAACGATATAAAAATCTCATGCTCAGATGCCCATTCCAGGTCTGTTTGCCTGTCAGCACATGTCACATGACAGACGTCCTGCTTCAGACAGGGCCCCGCCCTTGGCTCCGCCCACAGAGAGTGTCCCTCCTCAGATGGCATGATTGCTGTAGCTGACATATGTCGTCTTGGTGGAAGATGCTGCAGGAGGGGAAACACATTAGAGAACCACATTCGCTCTCACTCAACTGCATGTGCAGTATTTGCGCAAGTCAAGTGTCTTAGTCAAGCATCATTTTATGGTCACTGCTCATAAAAATCTTCCAAAATGGGGTTTTCGCAGTGATTCTATAGAAGATCCTGAAAGTTAATGAGTGTCACTCAAAGAAACAGAAAAATCTGTTAAAACTAGCCTAGTTGGGCTTTCATTTAGTGTCACATATTTTCATGAAAACAAGTTTACATTTGGCTGGTAGTGGTGCTTTCTTGGTGAATGAATCATTGTTTTTGAACTAATCTTTTTTGAGTAAACAAATCATTCGTGGAAGTAGCAAAAAGGCCAAGAATCAAACATTTAAAAAGCAAAGAAAAATCTTTTACAAGTAGTCTAGTTGGCGTATCATTTAGCATCACACACATTCTCATGCAAACAGGTTTAAATTTGGCTGGTAGTGGTGTTTTTTTTTGGTGAATGAATCAGTGTTTTTGAATGAATCTTTTGAGTGAACAAACCTGTCGTGTGTTCATTCTCTGCAGTCTCTCCCTTTAATAAACACTTTTAATAAGATACATTTTTTAAAGAATAATACGATTTTCTTGGGTTGCAAATGACAAATATGTTGAGTGAATAATTCAATGATTCATTCATAACACACAACCCAGCTAAGAGGGAACATTCTCAGAACTTTGACTAACATTCTCTCAAAGTTATGAACAAACATTCTTCAAGTAATGTTAGTAGAATATAACATTTATTATGTACAAAAAATTATATTTATACATTGTTCATGGAACTTTTTTCATGAAACGTTTTAGTTGTCTAAAGTTTTTTTTTTAATGTTAAGCGCTTCGCAATGTTAAGAGAATATTTAAAAGTGAAGCTCCCATAATGTTTGCAACTGATAAAATAGAATGTTGCCTTAATGTTTGCATAACAAAGAAAAATGTCAGAGAACATTCACAAATGATGTTTTTATACCTATTTGGAACATTAGCAACACATTCTTAGAACATATTTTTATTAGCTGGCTATTTATTCATTGGCTTAGCAATGAAACCTGCATAATCTTTTTGGTGAACAGGTTCATAAGAGTCACTAAAATGATTCAAAATCTCCACCACTACTAGTTGAGGGCATTTTCGTTCTCTCCTCCAAATCCTTTCTTCTTTTATCTTTACTAAATAAAAGTATCCCAAAGGCCAAGAATTAAATAAAAAACTTGTCTAATTTAGTCATCAAAAGTTTTGGGTGGTCTTGATACTGATACATGAGTTGCGCTTTAATGTTTCATAAGGCAAAGCATCACCCGCGGCACAGAACAAAGTAATTGGCTTGATGACTTAAAATGGGCTTATTTCCCCTCAAAGCTTTGGATCGCTTCTGAGTGATTACATTTTCAACACTCCATAATCCTGCGCTTTGGAGAACAAAAACAAAAACAAAAATCCAGAAATTTATCAAACTGGCAAATAATGCAACTAGTCAAATATGCTAATCAAACCTCGATCACTGATGTCACACTTTACTTTGCCTGTCTACCTCCAGCAAACATCTCAGCAGGAAACTTTTGGTCTTGCAACAAGACTTGTGTTTGGTTAAGTCTACCATTTTGTACTAAACAGATGTTCTACATACAGCAGGAACATTTACTAAACATCTGGAGGAAAAAATGTGACGCTAACAGAGCAGAAATAGAGTGCAACAGTGACCGCAGCAGCCTTGAATTATCAAAGCATATTTCCTATTCATTTTCCACATTAAAAAAAAGCTTTGAGCCTTAAACCAAACCACATGGCTTTGAGATGAATCATAGCATTCGATTCAAAGCAAAAAGTTATTTGAAAATCAGGGGAAAAAAATGTACATCTTTTCGGAGCAAATGAATGAACTACTCATCCCGTAAAGCAATGGGAATGAATAAAATCAGTCTGTTTTTTGTGTCTTCCCAATTCAACTACTTATTAACACATTAAGTGGTCAAGGTTAAGTGTGTCTTGAAATGGTTATATATGAAAAGTGCTAATAGTGCACTATTTTGGCCTACATGGCTGAAATACTCACTGTTGGTTTCCATGCTCTCACAAAGCTCAGTCTTCACTTCCCCGTTGGGCCGGTCGCTTCCCTTCTGTACGAGTTTTCCTGACATGGTGGCGGCAGTGACGATTGCTTTGAAGCTGCGCTTGCGTTTGGGCACGTTCTGCTCTGGGGGGAAGATGATGATGTAGACTTTGGGCATGTAGAGCATCCCCAGAGACACAGACGCGCTGAGGCTGAGAGAGATGGTGAGGGTGGTGGTCTGGATGTACATCTGGAAACAACACACATCAGATGGGAACAGAGAGAGAGGGAAAGGCAAGTGGCCGGTGAGTGTATATGAAAAGTGCTAATAGTGCACTATTTTGGCCTACATGGCTGAAATACTCACTGTTGGTCTCCATGCTCTCACAAAGCTCAGTCTTCACTTCCCCGTTGGGCCGGTCGCTTCCCTTCTGTACGAGTTTTCCTGACATGGTGGCGGCAGTGACGATTGCTTTGAAGCTGCGCTTGCGTTTGGGCACGTTCTGCTCTGGGTGGAAGATGATGATGTAGACTTTGGGCATGTAGAGCATCCCCAGAGACACAGACGCGCTGAGGCTGAGAGAGATGGTGAGGGTGGTGGTCTGGATGTACATCTGGAAACAACACACATCAGATGGGAACAGAGAGAGAGGGAAAGGCAAGGTAAGTCAGAGAAGAACCACATCTGTATGCAGTTCCTTCCTCAGAGTTTGAAGTCTCTCTAGCCATAATAATGAACTGTTTTAAACCGTTTCTGGATCTTTTTACTGAATTTAAAACCTTCAGAACTGTAACGGCAGCTCCTGTGAGGCCTAGCAAGGTATACAATAAAGTCATCCAAAAAAAAAAAAAAAGAGAAAGAAATGTAAGTTTCATACAGATTTATATGATATAGTTAATATTTAACAAATGCAATAATGCAATATTAACAACAACACAATGACATTTAACAAAGAACAAAAAATGAGATGACAAACATGCCAGGAACATTTTTCACACTACAAATGACAAAAATAAGATGTTACATTGCTAAAAAAATAATAATAACAATACATGCCATGCAATGCAATTTCATGACAATTAAGTGCACAGAAAAATAAAAATAAAATAAAAATCTTTACTGTAACGTGATGGTTGGAGTATTTGTAGTATCTGTTATACTGCCTTTAATAAATTATAATTTAAATGTAAAAAAAAAAAACAATAAATTAATTGTGCTGTAATAAATTAATACTTACTTTTTTTGTATTTCACAATATATCAAATCCATCAATAAAAGTGTCAGAAATTAGGAGCAGAATATTTTCTACCCTAGGTCAATTTGACCCTGTGCATTAAAAAACAACAACAACAAAAACAACAACAGCTAAATATTATTTGATGCTCAAATCAAAGAAAAATGTTGTGCAGAAACAATTTTGACTCAGAAATTGCTAGTAAATTTCACAAATAATTACAAAGAATGGCAAGTAAAATTTAAGAATGACATTTTGAAATAGAAAGACTTTAACTTTGAAAAATCATTTTTGCAGTACGTGTGTATTTGCTATTCACCAGGCATCTTGAATTTGACAAGGTTTCACAGAAACCCTGAGACCTCCACACACACACACACACCAAGACTTCTCAGATGCTGGAAGCATAATTAGCGGCTGATAAGGACACATGCTCAGGACTCAGAGACAGATTTACAACTTTCCTTAATTAGAATTTAAAAATGAAAGCTCTTACTCAGTTAACAGACATGAGCACACACAACACACTCGGTCCTGTGAACACACACACACACATACACACACACAGGCAAACAGAAGAAGAATCCTCAAAGGCTGAGCACTCATGTGTATCTTTGTCTCCAGCAGGGGGTAAAAATCACAGAGAACGACTGCTAGCAGATGGCGAGACACGCTTGAGTCCAAACACACAGTGAAACCAGAGACAGATAATAGCAAGTGTGTTAATGTAGAAGCGTAATGAAAAGCATCGGTCAGAGAGCGGCTCCAGCCACCCGCTGATCTGTAACAGGACTGGACGGCATTGGTGGGTGTGCTAACGTGTTTAGAGCGGAGATCAGTGCAGTTCTGAAGACAATCCATGGGGTAAATGCTTAGTGACATTTACAGAGCGAACAGAAACAGACTGGAGGAGCGAGATCCTAAAATATGAGCTGCCAAACGGGAAGGAGACATGCTTAGTGTTCAGTCCACACTAGATAAGGCCTAATACAGAAAGTAAACCTACCTATAGTGAGCTACTAAATCAAATCAACAAATGAAATAACCTCACAAATAAAGAAAATAAAAGAAAACAATTTAAAAATAGATCAAATTATGCTTTTAAAATCTAAAAATGCTCAAAGTTTTCTTTTAGGGGTACAGTTGTGTTTTGGCCTATAGTATTTACAATATATATTTTTTTATTAAATAAATAATACTTGTATTCATTAAGGATGCATACAATTTAACAAATTGAAAGTAAAGACATTTATAATGATATAAAAGCTTTCTGTTTCAAATAAATGCTGTTATTGTGAACTTTATATGCATCAAATTATCCTGAAAAAAATGTGTCATAAAAATTGTAACTGTTTTTTAAACTGACAATAATAAGAAATGTTTCTTGAGCAGTAAATCAGCATATTAGAATGATTTCTGAAGGATCATGTGACACTGAAGACTGGAGTAATGATAAATGAATACCGTTATTTTAAATTGTAATATTATTTCACAATTTTCCTGCTTTTAAGTTTTGTTTTGTTTTTGATCAAATAAATACAGCCTTGATGAGCATAAAAGTCACATTTCACTGCCCCCTGCCCTCCCCCCCAAAAAAAGAAAAAAAAAAAACAATAATAAAAAATAAATAACATTTTGGATAATCATAATTTCTCATTTTTGATAGCTAAGTAAATGTGTTTATCATCCACACACACACACACAGACACAGAACAACTCAAACACTGAATTGGTTTCTATGGTCAGAAATTGCAGGTAATCACCTGAGACTAGCTCTGCGGATATCGATCCAAAGCGGTCTGACACAGACTGGAGATTGTCCACTAAAAGCTACATATAAACTCAGCGTTAATTTGCCTCTAGATCAAAGAAATCACTTCAGACTAACAACCTTCCCGTTAATACCAGTCAGAGGAAACAATGCTCATTATATATAATCACCAAACTTCTGAGTTCTCACCAACTTCAGCATTTCTGGGAATCGCTATAGAATACATGACAACTCTGATGCTATTTGCCATCATCTTCCACTCTGCGGGAATATAATGTATCGATCTGTGCGATTGTGCTGTATTATGACCAGGGGCTCTGGCAGAAACGCCACATATCAGTGGCTTATGCTGTTAGAACTTAATACTCCCATAAACCCTCAGGATCTAGACAGAACTTTAAAAACACATAGTCACTGAACCAGAGAGACTTTACAACTTAAAATAAGTTTTATTTCTTATCTTTTTTCATTTTAATTTTTAGTTAAGTTTTAGTATTTTGTTGTTTTTGTCATTTTTTTTTTTAAATCTCTATATTTTTTTTATTAATTTCTATTTTAATTTATTTTAGCATATGAAAATAAACTAAATTCTGCCTTGTACATGATTGTCACGCTACGCTGTTGAGGGAACACGCTGGAGTCACGAGGAAACATTTAACAGTCTTTAATCAAGAAACACAGGAGATACTCCACAATGGGAGCTTGAGCCAACACACATAGAGAACGAGTAGACCTGACAAACACAAACTGAACATACAAGGATTTTTATACAGGGGATGATTGGGGAACACAGGTGACATCAATGGAACATAATCAAACTAAACGAGGACAGGAACATGACCAAATAAGGCAAAACAGGAACTGAAACACATGACAAAACAGGTCCAATCCTGACAATGATACATTTTAGTACAGTACTTTTATTTAAAGTAACAAAAATGTTATGGTTTTAATCTTAGTTTAGTTTTAACTTTTTAAATTCTTTATTTATTGACGTTTTAATATCTGTTTTCACAATAGATCATGTCTTCAAAACGAGCTAGTTTTACATTATACAATGTTTCGTTAAATTTTACTTATTGGTTGATTTAATTTAATTCATTCAATTAAATATATGACATTTGTTTTGTTACCAAAGGTTGATTTGTACTGTATTTTTTATTTGTACCAGAAACAGCCATTATTCTCAACTATTATAGTTAAACATAACCATGATTTCTTAAAAATTATTGTTTTAAATAAAAACAATTGAAATAGTGTCCGAAATGAATATAAATAAACATATTCAATTATTTATTTATTGACGTTTTAATATCTGTTTTCACAATAGATCATGACTTCAAAACGAGCTAGT